ATCTCCACTAGCTCAGCTACAGATTTTCCAATTTGGATAATAAATCAATTGGGCAACGTCAAAAGTCAATCTAGCTCCAGGCATGTTAAATAATTTTAAAATTAGCTTTTTGACACGTATGCAGAAAGATTTCGCAGAAAAATATTTAAAACTAACTGAAGGCGTTATTTTTGCATGCAAAGTCAAAAAATATATATTTTTTTCAGTGCGTAAAGAGTTTCTTGACATACTGTATATACATACGTCGGAATGTAAAATAATATAATAAGATGTCTACAAACTTAAAAAATAAATATAAACACACATTTCTATAATGAAATAATTATTTTGTGAGTACCACTCATCCTTATCTTTTAATGACACATATGTACATGCCCCCTAGTTTCACTAAGTATTTTTTTTTTTTGTTTTTGGAAATGAAATTATGATTTCACCAAATATTAAAAAATATAAATACATGGGACAAAAAAGTACCCGGAAGTTAAATTCTCCGGGTAAATGATATTTAAAAATATGTATTTTGCTAAGTTGGTAGAACGGTCCTTAATTGCTATGCCAAATATGAGGACGATCTGTCAAATAGTTTGTTTACAGCAGCTGCTTAGGTCGATACACATCAGTAGCGCGTAACTAAAGAAAATATTAAAAAAGTGAAGGCAATGGCGCTTAAAAATCGTCAGGCGAATGTTAGATGTCATCTCTCTTGTGAGAGCTTGTCATTTCTCGCGAGTCCGTTGGAATGATTTTGGTGGCTATTTTAGGTATGAAACGCATTCTTGCTCTATTCGTTTCGATAAAGCTGAATTTTTTTTCACAAATAGTAGGATAAACAAGTCTATTTGGATATGCTTGGTCGTGCGAATTCCGATTCCACATTCTTGAAGAGCACCATAACTGCCGATGAGACATGGGTTTATGAGTTTGACATGCAAACAAGTCAACAATCAAGGGAATAGAACCCGTTTTCAGTCGATCGAAGAGGTAAAATAGAATTAGTGTTTCGAGGACTGGAAAAATCGTTGGGTTAAGTGTATTACGTCTGGTAGGGATTACTTTAAAGGCGACAAAATAAATATTGATGAATAATTAAATATTTTGTCGTTTTATTTACAAACTCCTGGTACTTTGTCACAATGTATTCACATTTGCAACTATAAATTGTAAAGAAAAATATGAAAATGCGCAATTTCTTACAAATATTTATTTTAAAATTTGTTGAAAAAGTTGAAATTAAGTACCTAATGTTCAATTAAATCTTTTTGATATAAGTGTGATATCAATGTGTATGGCGCAGTGAAAGCTATTATGTCATTAACAACTACTAGTGCATTAAAAACTACTGCAAGCGCCGAAGATAACTCTCGTAATCAATCATTTTATTGACTTAACAATTGTAACGAGCACGTGTCAGCTTCCTAAAGTATACAAATGTAGACACATTTTGTAACATGAAGCGGTGCTACTTGAAGTTAAACCTGCTCTCACGTACGTCCAGAAATATAGTATACTTGAATACTTGATTTTACCTACTGACCAATAAACAAGAAAACGTAACGCCGACTCATCAAATGTTGTCATCAGATGGGGATGATGATTGACTTGTAGAGTTTTTTCTTTGTTCATCGAGAGAGGCCTTTATTTCTAAATTGTCTACTCAGTCCCAAGTAGAACATGTTGGTAAGTGTTATTCTGCGTTGGATTTCGAGGCTGGCGCTGTTGCTATCATAATGTTTCATCTTTTATTTTTATTTTATCCCATATCTTTGATTATACCCCATAAACCCAATTTGGATATCATATCCACCCTACTGTGTATCAGTATATATTTTTACTTAGTAAAATTAACAAGACTTGTTTCCTTGGGCAAATTGTGGAGTCTAAATGGATATGCTTTACATCGGTCATTGTAGGGTAACTAATGTTCGGCTATGCCTGATCTTAGTACTTTCTTACTTGATACTAACGCAGCAGGAGTTTATAATATTCGTATAGCACCATATTGCCAACAATAAAATTCGGTGAAATTTCGCAGGAAATAGATATAAATTAAAGGCAATTAAATGGAAATAAGTGAGTCGATTTCATTGCTAAATTAATACAAAAATTTTATTAATTTTGTAAATATTTTCGCACATTTGTGTTTCTATTGAAAATGCCTTTTGTTCTTGCGCTGCTTTACCGCGAAATTGAACGAACAAGAAAATTATTTACAAAATAGGTTTATTAAAACACTTCTGGTATTATTGGGTTTTTATATATATTTTTTATACCCTGAACTTGGTATATTAAGTTTGCAACAAAGTATGTAAAACTCAGAAGGAAACGTCTAATACCCTACCAAATATATTATACATATACATATGTATGTACCATATATGAAATATCAGCGTGATGAGCTGAGTCGATTTAGCATGTCTGTCTGCATATACGTGATGTAGTGACTCAGGTTTTAAGATATCGATCTAAGATTTTTCACACGTCTTTTTTGCTTATAAATAAGTCTCGACATTTTCCTCTTCATAGTTCCTTAATTTTTTTTCAGCTGAGCATTCTGGAAAAAAGTCATTGAGGTTCAGAAGCAGAGAATACGGTGGATGTGGAATCTACTCGCATTGTTTTGATGGGATAAAACTTTTATATCTGCAAATTGGAACATTTTTTCCAATAAGGGTATATAAGATTCTCCATTAATCGTTTTTCCTTTTTCATCGTAGTCGATTGGAACTATTCTATGAACATTTCCGAAGCTAGGCGCCATAAGTAAGTCAACTGTCTTGCCATGCTTCAGACATGACTTTCAATAAATTATTTGAGTTTTTTGGGCGACTATGAGTTCGTGCAAATCTTTTTCGTTATTTGATTATCAATCTCGTTTTGTGGTTAGTGTCAATCATTTTATGGATTTTTTGACATCCACTTTGACTCTATGAGGAACGGTCTGTAGGTTCGTCATCTTCGGTGTTATGTGGCCCATGTAGAATACAACAAAAGAATTGAAGATTTCTTCTCCTAACACGAAGCTCAAATAAAAGTCATTCAAGCGCTCTTTGATTTAATTGTGCGAATCGCACAAAATCCGAAAAAATAATAAGATCATCATCAGATTTCCGTTTATGTGAAATTCGCGGACACGCCCACTTTCACACACAATCAAAATAAAACCACGAGTTCGCACGGCGTTGGAAAGTAATCGTCTATGAAGATCACACTGCCTTCATATAGCCGTGACAGACTAAGGCTCGTAGCGGACTGTCTGGGATTGTAAGATAAATAAATTTTCCGAGTGTAACGCACCCATGCAATCGTCTTGAGATCACTTTGTTGTTGTGGTAGCCGCAGCATTCTGTTGAATTGACAGTCCTCGGGCGGATAAAAATCGTGGAAAAGAAGAGATCGCTTTGAAGTACCTGTTTTGCAGTACCCGTGTTGAAATAAATAAACTACTTCTGCATAGTTGAAATTTGAGCTCAACAAATGTTAATATAACAAGAATACTAAGATTTCGTTCTCCAACAGGCTATGAATGAAGTTTAATTTTGAGTGTCATAGGATTCGTACGTTACATCGTCATATAAGCATATACATACGTCAATAGCATTATCAAAAAACATATCATCATCTCCACGTAAAACAACTTTCCACGGCGTAAGCAGTGTTCGGTTCACTGTTTAGAAGTCTGAGTGTGTCGCTAATTTGTGGGATTGGTGACAAACTGACCTAACTCTTTACTTTAAGCACCAACTCTATTGAAAGATCACGCTTCATGAACGCATTGTTCAACGGCCTTGACGAGAATCTCATAAAATTTCACTAAGCTTAGTTATGCTGATATACATATTATATACATATATTATGCATTACATATTTACTATATATAAACATATATGTATGTATGTATGTGGGTGTGTATAGTATATGATTGCATTTCTCGAAATTAAGCTTTGATTCAGCATCAGTATGTATTAAGCAAAGTCATCATACAAACAAACAAATTTCGACGTAATTCAAATGAGAAGTTGGTTAATTCTTTAACATGATGCAATCGTAGAATCGGCGCACGCGACTCATTTATATAAATACACTATATATATTCTTACTCATCGATCATGCGGGTGGAAAAGGTGAGGGAATCGGCAGCCATTCATAGCTTTGCGAGTTTGTATATGCATTTGTGCATATCGTCACCTGAAATACAAAATAACTTAACACCATTTTTTAAAATTGAAAGTGGCATGAATGAAACACGAAATAAAATGGAACATGAGTGAAAAAAATTTTAAAATTGGTTGAAACTAGTTTATATCTGAGCGCAGAACCGGAAAATGTTGGACGTACATATGTAATATTATGCACATATATAATTTGAAGTGGTGAATCGTAATCAATAAGACACTCAATTTCGAATTTTTTGATGATACGTTATTTTGCATTTCAGGTGATATATGTTGCTTAACATCTTCCAGATATCCGGCTATACTCTTTTCTACATACATTTGTTTATTTATTTATTTACTTTCTGGCTCGCTTCGTAGTTTCCATAGAACTTTTTGTATTTTCCAATTGACGGCTAACTGACACACATTGGGATGTGCGTCAGTTTTTGCTGTTGTCGTTTGTGTTTACTTTGTTGAGACATTTTTCTCTATTTTGTTACAATGGAAAGTGACGAATAATCTGTTATAATTTCAATATAAAATAAAACAAAATTTCACATTTAGCAGATATTTTAAGCGCGAATTTCCAGTTTACGGTAGGTTCTGTTCGATCTGGTGAGCTACTGAATATTGACCAATGTGTGTAAGCATTTTTTATGTTTAATAAAAAGGAAATGTTCTGGTCTCTATTTTTGGTATTTTTATTCCAGAGCTTAAAGAATGTTATACAAACACGATAATCAGTCCAAAGGCTTTCAATTAATCACACGCAGTGTATAGACCTCTGCTACATACAATTTTCGGCATGCGCAAATGTTTAATATTTTGTTGTTGTTCTCTTTTCAGTTGCGTACGCAAATTTTGGTTTACATTTTGCAAATAAAAAAGAAGATTAGAAAGGAACAAAATATAAAGAGCTGGTGAAAAGGAGCACAAGTCAACAACGACGGCACGTCCTTGCCCACAAGCATTGTACTAGCTGTACTCGCACTCACATACACACATACAAAACACTCCATTAAAATGGGTCAAACCCTTTCCGAACCAGTCACAGCCAAAGAGTCTGCGTATTGTCAAAATGAATTGTATCGCGTCGGTTCCAGCTGCATGCAAGGCTGGCGCATCAACATGGAGGACTCGCACACACATATACTTTCCCTACCCGACGATCCCGGCACATCGTTCTTTGCCGTCTACGATGGTCATGGCGGTGCGACAGTGGCACAGTATGCTGGCAAACATCTTCACAAATTCATACTAAAGCGACCCGAGTACAAAGAAAATGTCGAGAAGGCTTTGAAACAGGTAAGCGCACGACTACACATGACTTTTGTACTTATTAAGCAACTAAACTTTAATAAAAATTAGTTTAACTTATATACATATCTTTATAAATATATTTTTGTTTAGGCATTTCTGGACATCGACTATGAGATGCTGTACAATGAGTCATGGGGCGAACAAATGGCCGGCTCGACAGCTGTTGTTGTACTTATTAAAAATAACCGTTTGTATTGTGCCAATGCTGGTGATTCGCGTGCGATCGCCTGCATCAATGGAGAGGTAGAGACTCTGTCGTTGGACCATAAGCCAAATAATGAGGCTGAAACCAAACGCATACACGAGGGTGGCGGCTACGTGGAGTTTAATCGTGTCAATGGCAATTTGGCATTATCACGGGCACTCGGTGATTTCATATTCAAGCGCAATGCCAACAAGAAGCCTGAGGAACAAATCGTGACTGGTGTGTATTTTCTTTAACTTGAATTATGTATATATTTTTTTTGATTCGTAGTCTTTTCCCGCATTTCAAAAACATATCTCGCAGACTGATCGATATTTTTTTTCAAAAGGTCAGTCATTGTGTTTCACATATTCGATATGTGGTGGCTTGAATAGTTATGTTGATATTAATTGATCGCGGTATTATTAGTTTTTAACAAAACCGTTATATGGGGAAAGGACAGGATAATAGCCCGATATCATTCATTTTCACACAGTCGCTATGGAGTTTTATAGGATTTATTCTAAGCGAATTTGGCTATTGTAGCTTTAATGGTTTATAAAATGTGTATATTAAACACATTTCAGCGGGGCCACGCCTTTTTAATATATATATATATTTTTTTGCGCACAGATGCCCTTTGCTACTGCAATTCCCTGGGCCAAGCTACAGTTTTGTTACTGAATTTTCAGCTTAGTTAAGTTTTTATACCTATCCAATAAAAGTTTTCTTGTCGGCGTGGCAGTGGTCCATTTACGCCCATTTACGAGCTGCTCACTTTTTTCCAAGGAGCACGTATACAAAGTTTCATGAAGGCATTTAAATTTTTGCTCAAGCTATCAAGTTTGTACGGACGACGGACAGTCACTCGGAATTCAACTCGTCTCACCATCCGATCATTTTTAGATATATGTATGCAACTCCATATCTATCCCGATTAGTTTGATGTGTGTAAAAACGGAATAAATACAGAATATATGGTAATAACTTCACCTCATCTTCATCCATGTAATTACACCAAAAAAATAAGAGACAACTCCGAACACTAACTTTGTACCTTTATCCTATCACCATGGCAGGATTGTCGTGTATTATAAGACAGTATGTGGTATACCTATGTATATAGTATTTGCAACTGATATTAGTCCATTTTAATGCGTGAAGAGTTTCACACCTCACCCTATCGGACTAATTTACTAAATTGCGTCTTTCTTAGATGGCTAAGATGACAATATGTTCTAGATCTCCTAATGAAGAATTAAATTGTTTATATGAACACTCGAAATAAGAACATATGCTATATTGTAGTGTTGATATCTCTGGAGATCTAGCTGTAAATCAGTAATATAAGTCAAAATATGATTGTTTTTTTTTATCTAATTTGCTTAATATTTTTAAAAATAGATTGCAAATAAAGTATATCCACAAAAAGAATTGGGATTTATATGTATGTATGTACATAGTTTCCTCTCCTTATATTACCACAACTTGTGAGAGTATTTAATATTCGCATTTTCCCGAACTTAACCTTACTTTGTTGTTCGTGATTACGCAGTTTACATTCTGTTTAACACTCTATTAAGAATGCAACAAAACAAATAGAGCATTCATAAAACCCATTTGTATATATTCGGAAAAGGCAAAGGCACTTAATTGCCGGTAAACAAATCAAACAGAGAAGTCGAATGTATAATAATTTTGCAGATTTTTATTTCTTTTATTACGTTTACGCACTTGACTTTTGCTTCCAACTGTATACTTTATTAACTTTGCTCATAGTCTACCTGTCGGTCAATAGCTACATGGCGCAATGACATATTAAACACTTCTTCGTATGGCGATGCTATAAATAACAAGTCACTCTTCCTTATTCAGCAAATTTTTAATAAAGAAACATATATATATGTGTGTATTTGTAGTATACTAGATTTTATTACAGTAGCATTTATATTACAGTGGTTGCAAATAGAAAGAAAAAGTAACTGATTTGAAATGTTTACTATCTGATCTTACTTAATCCAGACTAGTCAATGTCCTGCATGCACAAACCAAATCGATAAATATTTTATTCCAAGATTGGCACACCGTTTTTTATGTTCGTGAAAACTTTGATCCCCATATGTTAATTACTGTGTATTTGCTGTTTATTTATGACGCGAATAGTTTGCATGGCCATCTTTGCCATAGACAAAAAGTTTACAACGAGTTTGCTTGGAATTAAGTGTTTCCAATGGAGTCTAATTTATCACGATTTTGTCATTTGAGTGACACAAACCATTCAGTGAAAGTCGCGAAATCATCGAAATCTCCGATAATGACCCTAACAACGAAAAAGATAAAGAAAGAGAACTTGAAAATCGTCGATTTGGCATCAAAGAGTTAGCAGGATCTCACACCTTTAGGAAGTCGACTCAACGCATTTCGGTTAATGTTTTGGGTATGAATCTTATCATTTTACTCGTACCAAAAGTCTTGGAACTTTTGCAAAAAAGACCTCGAGTAGTGGCCGCAAAAGGGATGCTTGACATTACTGATAACTAGGCTTGGGTTAATGAATATGACGTCAGGACTGTTCAAAAATCCAGCGAATGATGAAATTTTCCGAATCCAAAAAAACGGAAATTCACTGAAAAGCACTAAAGGCCAACCCAGCCAAAGCTTTTAACAAGTGTATAGAAAAATTTAGTCAATCTTTGGCTTGCTTATATTGGCTCAGGAGCCTATTTTGAACTCGATATTAAAGATTTGTGTTAGAATACGTATCTTTTTTTGTCAGTGGGAGGCAAATTTTATCACTTTTATATGATGATAAATATTCTTAATTAACTCTGAACAGGGTAATAATATGCAACGATGTCGGAGACCTTATAAAAGATGTATATAAATGATCAGCACGACGAGCTAAGTAGATTTCACCTCGTCCGTCTGTCTGTGTATGCGAACCAGCCACTTAGTTTTTGAGTTATAGCTCTGAAACTTTGCAACTTTTTCTTCCCAAAAAGCTGTTTTATTTGTCGGTATAAACCGAACGATCAAAATTAAGTGCTTGGATGGAAAACTGTTTCATTTCATGAGATATCTTCACAACACTTGTCGTGAGTTATTGTGTAAGGCAATGATGCATTCTGCGAAGAGATTTTCTAGATCGATTTTTTTAGAACAATCGAAATCACAACTTTTTTTGTTGTAATTATTTTAGTCACTGCCAATCTTTAAATGCCTCATTTATATGTATTATATATTGCATGAACATTACATTTTGATAACTGAAATAGTGATACCTGCCCACTGTCTGATCTAACAATAGCACCCACGCGAAGTCATTAATAGCACAACAAGAGAATATGATCATTTAATTTATAAAGTGAAGGCAATTGCTTTCATCACGGCAACGTGTTGATTTGCATACAAACGTACACTTATAGCTAAACACGTAAATGCGCACTTTGGCCACTCGGCGCTCACATCATACATTTTCGTTGGTTATTTTTTGCTATTCTATTGAGTAACACAGGCGCTAAATGAAACTATTTGTAAATGCAGTGTTTATTTTTCGATTTCACATACACACTCATACAATGTTGGAATGAATGTTAATGGTTTTTTTATTTTTATTTTTTATTTTGTTTTTAATTGAACACTGTTGTTTATGTACTTCACCTTTTACTCATCAACGTACGTTCATTCATACTTACAGCATATCCCGATGTGGAGACACGTGAAATAACAGCCGATTGGGAATTCATTGTGCTGGCATGCGATGGCATATGGGATGTAATGAGCAACAAAGAAGTCGTCGACTTTTGTCGGAAGCGTATCGGCATGGGTATGTATCCGGAAGAGATTTGCGAAGAGCTGATGAATCATTGTCTCGCACCCGATTGCCAAATGGGCGGCCTGGGTGGCGACAATATGACTGTTGTGCTTGTCTGTTTTCTACACAATAAACCGTACGAAGAACTGATAGCGCGCTGCGCTAAAAATAACAATATCAACGGCAGCAGCGACAACATAACCACAACATCGTCTATGGATGTGGATCATCTCGATTTAAAATAACAAAACTTCACCATTTTTTCCATATTCAATGCTAGTAGAGCAACAGCAGCAGCAAAAACAGTAGCGGCAACAACAGCAATAACAGGCAATTCGACAGTCGACAATGCAATAACCACTACTACTACCACGTCTCTGATTACTACACGCAATAAGAATGCTACCGTTAGAGCTAAGAAAATTTCCAATCAACTAAGAATTGCGAGAAGCATCATTAAGAGCACCAATTATATTTTTCGTAAAATCTATAGGTTGCGTTACTTAACAATTGTGTTCCTTGTGTTTATGACCTATGCATATATATATTTTCATATTTAAAAATTTTTTTTAGCTACCAGCGACGCATCGTATAACAGTTACAGCTGTTGTCGCATAGTTAAATTTCAATGACTCTTGTTGACTGCAAATATTATAAAACATATAAAATTATATAACTACAACCTACTCTACAAATGCTTTTACGGTACAGACATATATACACGTACATATAGTATATTAGTTAAACACAAATTAGTTAATGCAATATTCACGGATGAGATAGTATTGGATGTTTTTATTTGTTTTTTCTATTTCCTCTGTTTGGCAAGTGTTTAGAAAATTTATGAGAAAAAATTGTAAAAATTACTTTTCTATTAATAATATTATATTTTATTGTATTGTAAAACCCTAAAACTAAATTTAAAGCGTAGTTAAAACTTTTGTGCATAAGAATTAGTCAACATAATTAACGATGTAATCATCAAACATACATAAATACACTTATATGCTGGCATACTGGCGATAGTTACCTAACTGTATGGTTCAAATAAGATATTATTTCGTTAAAATTTTTACTTTGAAACACTTATAAATTACTTTGTGTGTGAGGTCGAGATATTGACTGAGATGAAATAAAAATTTAGTTGTATACTTGAAAAAAAATAATGGTTTTTGTTTTTGCAATGTACGAACCACAAACAGGAATATAAATATAAAATAATTTTTTTACTAACACTATTTTCTTTAAAATAATTTTAAAATTCCTGAACACAAATTTGAGGAAAATAGTGGTTTTTATTTTTGTGGATATAAAATAATTTTTTTACTAACACTATTTTCTTTAATATAATTTTAAAATTCCTGAACACAAATTTGAGGAAAATAGTGGTTTTTGTTTTTGTGGATATAAAATAATTGTTTCACTAACACTATTTTCTTTAATATAATTTTAAAATTTCTGAGCACGAATTTGAGAAAAATAGTGGTTCTTTGTTTTTGTGGATGTAAAATAATTTGTTTTTCACTATTTTCTTTAATATAATTTTTAAATTTCTGAGCGCGAATTTGAAGAACAAAATGGTTTTTTTGTGTTTGTGGAAGTAAAATAATTTGTTTTTCACTATTTTCTTTAATATTATTTTAAAATTCCTGAACACAAATTTGAGGAAAATAGAGGTTTTTGTTTTTGTGGATATAAAATCATTTTTACTAACATTATTTTCTTTAATATAATTTTAGAATATCTGAGCGCGAATATGAAGAAAGTAATGGTTTTTTGTTTTTGTGGATGTAAAATAATTTGTTTTTCACTATTTTCTTTAATATTGTTTTAAAATTCCTGAACACAAAATTGAGGAAAATAGTGGTTTTTGTTTTTGTGGATATAAAATAATTTTCTTTAATATAATTTTTAAATTTCTGAGCGCGAATTTGAAGAACAAAATGGTTTTTTGTGTTTGTGGCAGTAAGATAATTTGTTTTTCACTATTTTCTTTAATATAATTTTAAAATATCTGAGCGCGAATATTAAGAAAATAATGGTTTTTGTGGATATAAAAAAGTTTCTTACCAATACGATTTTCTTTACTATATTTTTAAAATTCCTGAGCACGATTTTGAAGTGAATAGTGGTTTTTGTTTTTGTGATTTTAAATAAAATAATGGTTTTTGTTTATGAAGATATAAAATAATTTTTTACCAACACTTTTTTCCTTACTACATAATTTTAAAATTCCTGAGCAAGAGTTTTACGAAAATAGTTATTATTGTTAGTGTGAATTTCAATGAAACAATGGTTTTCCTCTTTGTGGATCGAAAATAATTTGTAACTAACACCGTATAATTTTCAAATTTCTTAATATACTAAAATGGTTGAAGAAAATAGTAGTTTTCGTTTTTGTTATGCATACATTCATATGTGTGTAAAAGTGTCATATAGTAGTAGTGTATTTAAAGCACTACCTCTCTCCAAAACTTCGTTAATATATGAATACCTTGAAGTATGCACATACAAATATTAGGGTGCTCGTTATTTCACAAACTGATTTTCTTTTTGAATTAGCAGGTTTAAAAGAATTACATTGTCAACTAATTTATTCTTATACTTAAATTTGTAAATAACTAAATGAATAAAAATGTTTCGCTGTATGGAAAAACTTAACGGGCATCCTAATGTTACATGTACGTCTTAATTCGAATTTAAACATAAAAAACCTCTTTAATTTCGAACTTTTACAATTAATCGTATTCGGTTTTTAAAACCCTGTAACCAAATTTTTCATTTCATCAACTTTTCTAAAACCAAAATTATATATTATAGTTTTTATATAAAAAAAAATTGTGCCTCTGATGAAAATGCTTTAAGATTTCAACTTTAAATGGAGTTTTTATGCGATCATATATCTTTATACCAAAACATATTTTATACCCGCAGTAATGCACGCCATGGACTCAAGTAAAGAATTGCTATAACGAAATATTAATTTTTGTACAAATATTATTTCTATCAGGTATATTTCCGAAAATATAGCATTTAAAATATGTGTCACCTAACAGTTATTAAGAGTCTTCAATAGTCTTAAATCGAATCGGTTAAAGTTATGAAGATCGTTAGTAAGCGTTTTAGTGAAACGTAAGCTGAAAACCACAAGGCATTTATGTATTCGTACAAAGCAGAAAATTATGGTTCTTTAAGAAGCATGAAGAATGAGCATAGATATCGGCACACTTAATTTGTAAACGCAAGCAAATTTTATACTTACTATGTAAATATAATCTCTCCACTTGAATGATGTCACAAGTCGTTCCCCGTATTCCATCCTCTAGTGAAAAGTCAAAGTGAATGCTTTATTGATAAGTAAATGTATCTATGGTAGTATTGTTTCACATTAGGAATACGTCAATATTATATATAGATTTACACGAATCAATTTAGAAGATTTAAGTTGACTCTTGTGATTTTATAGACAATGCCGTCGTTTGTTTTCTTTTAATCCGATACCTATGATTTAGATATAATTTTCAATAAGAGAAAGTTAGTATGGACAAAAGGTTTCTAAGGAAGTTGCAAATCGTCAACTAAAATGCAAAATGAAGTAACATCACTTTTTATAGGTTTAAAGGCGAAGGGAAAACGATCTAATAAAAACTACAAAATTTGAGTTTTGCTTATAAAATGGTTATATAATGGTTATCTCTGATAGCGAAAGCTTAAAACTTTTGTCCTATATAAATGTAATATGATATAGTGAATCGTAAGCTGTAAAAACCCATTTTCTATTTTTTTGATGATACGTTGTTTTGCATTTCAGGTGACGAAATATTGTTTTAGGTTGTTTTGAAGATATTTTTTACAAAAAAAAATTTATTGCAGGTATATACACATTGTATTAATATTACACCTTAAAAGATGTACTTACACTTAACATAATACAATCGATATATAAGCAAGAGAACAGTTTGTTTTAATTATAAAAGCATACTTATGCATATAAAGTTATGCGTTACGAAATAATAAAAAGTTAATTTAATAAAGAATGTGTTTCGGTTAGCCAAAACGGTGTTTTAATTTTGTATGACTACGGGCTGGAGGTGGGTATTGATCGTCTATTTTTTCTTCTGCCGACTGAGTGCGAGTTATCGATCCAACAGAATTCTTCTTCTTTACTGACGTAGACACCGCTTACGTGGTTGGCTGAGTTAACAAGATCACATCAGTAATTTTTTTTATTCGTTATTTGGTGCCAACCCAAGATACTTCTTCACCAGATTCCTCCAACGGTGTGGAGGTCTTCCTCTTCCTCTGCCTCCACCGGAGGCTTGTAACTAGTAAGGTGTCACAAATTTGTACTTCCGATTACAACACAATGTCTTTTGAAGCGAAGCTACGTGGCAGAAATAATATTATAAACATATTCTGAAAATAAGATATAAATGGGCACTAAATTTCATTCACAAATATCTTCCATCTCTGGCCGTGAATGTGACACTTTTTCCAGCAAAGCGGCATCGGTTCAAACCAATAACTCGGCATAGTAAAACCCTGCAACCGTTTCGCCCTTCTCTACAAAGTTGATGTAAATCACACTTTAGGGCCGATAGGACTGTCTGCATTTTCTTCAGGGTGAGTTGGTCCCACGGCTTCGCCTGCTATCCGGAAATGGTATCAACAAATGTGACACCCATCGGGCGGACAGCTGTCTCACGCAGTATATGATTCCACTAATGCCCACGTTAGATCATATGACGATCTTGCAATATCACTTTACGCATAGCATCAATGGTTGCCGGAACAACAACTGATTTTGAGAACCTTCTCAGAAAACGTAATTGAATTAAGACGCAAGACAAAAGAAATAATTGCACTACTCGTACAAAATAACTGCTGATAGCAAAAATTTGGAGGAGAAATAGTACTGTCATTTGACTTGAAGAATACTGCAAACAAGTGAGAAATACTACTCCCTGGAGCGGTCGTTTGAGTTTGCAGAATAGCTAGAAATTACAAGAAGCTATATCAGGCTATTCGGTAACGATAATGGTTGAAAATTTGGCGAAAAGCTCACGAAAAATCAATGCAGTCTGCGATGGTGCATTATTGTGGTGCAAAAGTCTATATTTCCGGCCTCTTCTTGCGAATAACTTAGCGCAAATGACGCATAACACTCAAATAGTATTGACAGTTTGGCTGGTAGAAAGGTATTCAAAGTGCATCACACTTCGACAATGGAAGAAAACGTTCAACATATCAGTGATTTTTGTTCTGCTTTTACGTGTTTTTTTCGGCTTCGGCTCACCTTTGCCACTATATTCGGCCGATTGATCCTCTATTTCCACTTAAGCATATATCCAACACTCATCGTCGGAAATAAAACGTTTCATGACACCCTGATAGTCGGAAAGTATTGTTTCACAGACGTTGACGCGACTCTGTTTTTCGAAAAAATTTAGTGATTTTGGAATCAATCGGACTTACTCTTTTCTTAGGCCCTCATGCACTCAATTACTTTATTTTATTGATGTGTTGATGTTGTTAGCCGTCCTGTACTTGATTTGTCATCAACACTTTCAAGACATTTTTGAATAATTTGTACCAATCAAAAACACTTGCTCGCGACAAACAATTACGATCGAAGGCCTTTTCCAACATCCTAAACTTTTAGCACCAGAAATTTGATTCCGCATACAAACATTAATGGAACTTCTTTGTTGAATAACTTCACTCATCGTAAAAATTGCCGTATGCAAAACACTAAGAAATATTTTGATGAGATATTTAAAAAATTAAATATTTGATTAGAATTT